TTGCATCTATGTGTATCCGGACCGGAAGTATTTTACGCCTATGAAGGATAACACATAGCGCCTTCAATCCACACCAACACAACGGAATTATATTAGAATAAGGTGCTGACAGAGGTGAAGAACACGATAGAAAAACAATTGTAGTAAGTAATCAATAATTGTTTTAATTTTGCGTTTTCTGAATTTCCGATTTACCATCCATTCGAATTAAAACTACCGTTTAGCGTTACGGTCGGGAGTTAAGTTCCTGCAATTCCATTTTCACATTTTCATATTTAATCGATGCCGAACTTGGCGGAAACTTCGCCCGAAGATCGAAACTCAAATTCGTAAATTGTAGCTATAGGAAAAGTCAACGCGCAAGTTTGCTTTTAATAGGGTAAGACGAAATAATTGCCGAAAATTGAACGAAATTGTTTTGATTATGTTTATTAAGTCGGGACGAGTTTCTGCGAATTTCTATTAGCGCTCAAGCGGTTCCGCACCGCTTCATGTTCGCGTAACGCTCTCCCCCGAGAACGGCGGCGTATTCCCCGTCATTAATGCGTACTTGCCCGAAGAAAGTATTTGCTGGTTGAATCGCTCTCATCTGCCAAACACAGAAATACAAGCTTACAAATAATCTTTAATACAAATCCACCGCCAGTCTCTAAATTTGTCTCTAGGAGTAAATCATACAGTAGCTAACCTACGACTAGAATTTAATTGTCATACGCGTAGTTTTATTTTTAGTGCACACTTGGCACTTACTAAGTCTGCGTCGGATATAATGCAATAAAGTAAAAACTAAAATCCAAAGTTGTTTTCGTTCGCCTAGCCTTGGGCGCCTGCAAACGGACGTGCGAAGGGTTGTTATTCTAACTGTAGTAGATTTAATGGCTTGTTTTCGGGAGGAAGGACTTCCAAAGAATGCAAGAATGCTCGTACAGCAACGCCGCCATCAGGCATGAAGGGAACGTAAAATTTGCATCTCCGACTTTCGTAATTTAAGTAGCACGTGTTCCCTTCCACATCGATCTGTGCGGCTCTTTTTCTGCGCCATTTTCGTCCTCCTTCGAAACCAACACCTGCAAACACTAGCGCCGGAGGACTCATAGAAGTTGTTGACAATGCATGAAATATACTCAATACAATTTCGCCGTTGTTCGCGAGTCTGTCGTAAATCTGGATGCATTTGAAGGAAAACAAGTACCTGGCTGCGCAATAACAACTTTTATTGATAATAACAAAATTTATAAGACTATTAAAATCGTCTTCGGGATAACAAGAAAAAAATGTGAGCGTGCTTAATGTTCGCATTAATAATTTTTGCCTCGGTTAAACTGTCGGCATTCCGAAGCTGTTTAAACTATGGCTTCATACATGCGAGAGACTTAATTAATGGACAGTTACGCCAAACTTATTACTAATTTATTGCATTTTTAATTAACACCAGGACAACGGGGCGGTGGAATAGCGTTCATTTACTATTCAAGTATTCACGACGCGAAGTTTAAGCCGCTTGCGAGCGTGCTGTCTCGCGCACATTCGCCCGCCGTCTGCACGAAAGGGAAACTTCTCGCTCGCTCAAACTTTAATCCTTCGCCAAAATGTTAAATAAAATTAATTTTCCTTTGGATTTGCATGTTTCAACCATTTGCAAATATTTTCTTAACGCCGCACAAAAACATCAACAAAAACGGGAGATAATTTCGCTCGGGATGTTATTATCGGTCCAGGCGCGGGTGTTGCGAATGTAACGTAATACTTTGAAGTACGATGCGGGCCGATACAAACCTGGAATGCTGCTAGGCTTTGTAGAATTAAAACGAACACCTAATGTGCACGCGCGCGTCCACCAAATACGACCGGGTGCGCGCAGCGCAGGACCGCGAGTGGAAGTAACGGTCGCGGTGACCGAATGGCGCCATTCGTGACTCGCAAGTAGTATATCATCCCGTGCGGGCGGCGAACGGCGGCGGCAGCCCGAATGGCTGGCCGGTGGGATCACGTCGCTGCCGTTTGTGCCGTTTTCCATTGCGGCTGCAACCGAAACCGCGTTGCGTGTCCTGAATTTAATTGCGTGCGTATTTCAGCCTCCGCGGGCCGCCAGCGGACGCGCCACACGTGATATCCAGAGTACACCCCCGCGAACGTAACATAATTCCCTGCTGCTACCGGCTCAAGTTGGTGCTTCGGATGGAGGAGCAGGAACTGCCAACAGTCTTTAGTCCTTTCGATGCGCAGCCACCTCCTAATTTTGGCCGACTTGCACACTAAGTCCAACTTTAACCATAACCAATTTTATAAAATTTGTTTACTCATTATAGGCCTAGAAGTTGTTTCTTGGAGCCTGTTTCTCAATTAATATTCTGTAAACCACTAATTTCATTTAAGAATCAAGAGAATCAAGAGATTGATTGAAAGGGAGCGTAGTGCGCATTTAATAAATTGAGTGTTTAATAACGTTTAGCCACGCTTACGCTATTTTTTACACATACACTTAATTTCTACGTGGAAGTTTTTATATTTCAATTTTTGTATTTAAATTCTTTGAAATTTGTTCACACACTCACAGAAAATGTAAGGTTATAAATGGATGCCGTGACTAAAGTACTTTATAACGATATAAATTGCCAAACTTTTGAAGTATACATTTTTTGTAAATATTCATACGTCGTTGGTTTTTGAATGTAGGTACTTTTGAAGTTCTTTGCCTTTTTTGAGTGTCCTGCCTGTTCCGCTATACAAGGGGTACAAGTTCGATAGCATTTCCTCATTTTGCAGCCACCCCCGGATGCTAAACTCTACCCGTGCGCATTTTCAGCTGCGACAAGGAGTTGCAAGCATCTATACTGCTATGCTCCACCGTATACAAGTGCCGCTTGTATGTGACTAGTTATTGGAGCTTATAAAGTGTAAGTTGCTACTTCAAGTCGGAATTTACGATAGAGTGAACAAGTTCATATTAAGTGGTTAAGCTGCGCCACGTGCACTCTGCATGGATCTTCACCATTCCGCATCTTGTTCGGCAATTCCAGTCGTATTGTTTTCCACGCAAAACAAAATCAATTTTTACCTGAAACAAATTCTCTCTTTAAAATTTTGTGTTTGTTCCGTAATACTTAAAATTTAAGTGAAATTAACATTTAACGCACGGGTATGGCATTGCGGTTTGCACGTTGGCATCAAAGATTAATAATGCGCTAGTTAATTCAGTATTTATCGCGGCTCGTTTTCATTTTGCCATCGCCGCTAGCAGCAGGAATGTGCATGACGCGTACATTGTGCACCGTACGTGCACGTCGCTGTCACTGCTAGCGACGTCGCGGGGGCGGCGCTCATGAGATGCGGATCTTACATGTAAACACATGCCCGCCATTGCCATCGCGGGGGATACCTTCTCGCCGTTACCTCATTTACTCTTTACCTAGTCATTCTTTAGCGGCGGCGGGGTGCGGCGGCGCCCTCAACAGACGCTTTTGTATATTCAAGCAATCCATCATGCTTACGCTTGAGTTATGCCAACATTTAGAAAATTTATTATGCACACACGCCCAAGTCGTGGTGCGCGGAACGCGGCAGGAGTTTCCAGTCGACTCGAAATGATCAAATGAAATTTGCGTTGGCCGCCCGACCCAACCAAATCCACCACACCTTGTAAACTCTCGGCAACACTTTTGCATATTTATACTTTTTTCGTGCAAATTAAATATTTCTTAATCGCTTGTAATTTATGGAAATAATTATGCATTTTGCTAGGCACTCAGTATAAAAATGGAAAAGAAACTTGAAAGAAAATAAAAGCTTATCTTGTTCACTAGTATATTGCAGGGCAGAGGTGTTCTGAATGCTTGAAACAAATTCATAGTTCCATAGAAACGTCTTGCGGTAAATATCATTGAATCTATCAATAATTCTTTAAATCAAGCGAAGATGGAGTTAGAATGCGCATATTTGCATTGAATTCTAAACGCACTTAACGCTGCAAGTTGTTTGTGAGTGAGTGAGTGGTAGTGAGTGCACATCGCCTTAAAAGGAAATATTCCTGTCCGATCGCGCCAATTGGTGCAGCAGGTTTTGTTTTTATCTCTTAGATATATTTGTTTACATTCATGAGGCAGTGTACCGCACAGCACAGGTCGGTTAGTTTGTGCGTTTCTTCCGCGTGCTACGTTGTTCAGTGTAAACCTGAAAAACTGAAACAATAAAAGTGCTTCATTTATAGTCTAATTGCAGCTATAAATGGATAGGTAAATAATTACAGTTATATTAATTCATTTTTCATATTCATTCGAAAATAATTGTAATCGGTTTATGAGAACCCAGGCCTCTAAAATGGCTTCTACAACGTAAATTTAGAACCTCAATATTGTAGCAGTGCGTTATCGCTTCAAGCCTCAACTACCTAAGAAACTATTGATGAAAAGTGCAGAATATACAAAGAAAAATAAAAATTTAGCGTTGATCCAATCGTATTTCCGCCTATTTTCCATAGAAAACTATTTATATTGTTAAGATATTTAGTCAATTATGCACGTTTGTGATATCCTAGGACCCAGATATCTCCTGTAATTATAACTTTGAATTGCGCTCTGAATTATTAATAAATCCGCCTGTGGATGTCCTGCGCCTGGTGCTATTGCTAATGCTCCTGTTTGATATATGTCGCAATGGCCGGCGCACGATTATTCGGGCCACGCCGGCAATAAAAGCATTTAATTTATATTAACGTTACATGTTTAATGCCTTTTTAATACTCTATTGACAGCCGGCCCGGGCTGGCGCGCCATATCGGCGTATTGACTTCATGAATAAGTCCGTTTAACATAATCTACCCCAATTGTCCCTGCGTATAGGTACTTCTACGCAGTACCTATGTGTTATCGTTAACCGTAATACACAATTAAACGTGAATGAAAAGAAATTAGTCGTCAATTTGCCTCGTATTCAGCGTGTGCTTTGCATGTAACTCCATAAATATATTACCGTATAAATTAATCGTGTGGTTGTTGTTTCAGCCGAAGCCACGAAAAAAGACCATTGCAACAAGACAGTGGACATCTACGATGACGTGTCCAGCCCGGAAGTAACCGGCGATAATGTCGGCAAGCCGATGACATGCTCATATCGCTTTCGATCGTTTCGCGGCACGCCGAAAGATTGGATCCTGCGCATCAAGTTCAACAAGTTCAAAGTGGGCACGCTGGTGAACGCCAGTCATTGCGATGGCGGGTACATGCAGGTGAGTGTCTCAGTTTTCGTATTTTACTGTTTTGTGCCGAAGAGGAGCACCGGGATACGCTTCTCTATCAAATTAATATAATTTATGCAAGCAACAGTTGTCGTGCGCCACCCGCTACAAACCGCTCGGATGTGTGGCTACGGTAAACAAATTGAGAACGTGTGTGCAACTCGTACTCGTTAGCAACTCTTGCACCGATGTTCCCAAGTTGTTCAGGCTGCGACGTGATGCGAAACAATATCACGTAGCTAATTTCAAGTTATAATGTGATGTGTAGCCGCGTATTCAACAAAACTAAGCATTGCGGACACCGGAACAAGTGGACGCTCGGTTTAACAAAATATTTTGCTTTGCTACTTAGTTTACCACAAATATTTTCGGTTTAATTTATGAGTGTAGTGTACCTAGCTTAAAACGAGAAAATATTTTTCAATACTTAAGTAATAATGATGAAAAATTGAAAAATTTGAAAAGGTTTAAAATTGTTATTGAAATATTGCACAGATCAGAATATATTAGATATTTAAGATGTCGATAGCGAAAGGTCAGCCGTACCTGGCTCTTAGACAATGAGCTGGAGAAAAAAATGAATGTAGTATCGGAAATGGGTATAGGCCAATACCAACGTCTAATATTAAGTATACTTTGTAACATAAAGCATAGTTTTAAAGATGTACCGAGTGCGAGGGACGACAGTTGTAAAATTGTAAAATATGAGAGCAGAGAAGTGGGAAGAATGGTTGCGAGGCCTGAGGGTCACTTTTCTGACCTAAGGGCAGGCAGAATAATTTTGGCGTACGACTAGTGAAGACGTGTTTTGTTATTTCTTTAAATATTTTGTATCAATTGAATAAATTGGTTTAGCTTACTCTCTGTTTTTTACATTGGTATTAAATCCGATCTTACATGAATACATTACTAATATAAGCCACATTTATTAGTTTAAAATACAATTCTGATTTGTATTGATTTTGTATTGCCAATGTACTGATTAAAGCCAATGCACCGTCATTGTATGCCTACTGTTGCCCAAAAAAGTTTGGAAGGATTGGAGTCACATGGTGCTGAGGTTTCTCGTTTCACCGTCACCGACCCGCGCGTTTTACTTCAAACAAGTTTATTCCGCTGTACTTAAAAAAGTATCAAATTTTCAGCACTCGTGCTCGCATGTTAAATGTTCCTGCGCCAGTCGCAGAAATATCCACTCACATAAACCGCATTGAAAGGCAATTCATTATTTTATGTTTCCTGTTTTATTTATCCAGTACGTAAGAAAACGTTGGTCCAGTATTTTTCAAATAAACATGACATACTTTCTATCATGTTTATTATAGATTTATTTATATTTTTGTAGAAATAATGATGTTTTGAAGAAAGTAACGATATTAAATTTTTGCTTGTTAATAAGGGTTAATCAATGGCGTGACGTCTTTTTAGACGTTTTCTGCCTCCCTTGGGTTAAATTTGCACTCCGCGACGCAATATTTCTTCCCGCTTGGTGCCAGCCCAAGATGAAGCATTATTACTAGGGATAATATGACGACGATGCGCTGATCCCACGACTTAACTCTCGATGCTTAATGACGATTATTACTCGCTGCGAAGAATGAGAAAAGAGACACTGAGTGGCGTGCGCACAGAAAAAAAAATATCATAGAGGGAATGTAGCGACAACGGACAGTTTAAGTTTGCTTGCGCTAAGCGCCCCAGCAAAGTTTATTAAATCTGATGATGACAGAAAGCCGGCAGGTCGTCTTAATTAAATCTAAGCGGCGTGTTTTCGATGCGCCTCCTTCGTGTGTTTGTTTCATTTTGAGTCCGGGCGGAAAAATGTGGATGTGGCGAGGTTGAAATACTTTGAAATAATGCGGACTCCCGCTGACGGTGTAATAAGAGTTTCAGCTGGTGGATGGCAATTTTTGATTGCTGGAATTACGTTGACTTACGTCGGAGTTATTAAATTCACAGCTAGTTGCGCTGCACTCTTGTATTAATTAAACAAGGGAGTGCACGGGTAAACGCGTACTTATGTGTGCGACGCAAGACTAATTAGACAATCAGTCGGTGTCTTTAAGGTGGAAGTTTGCTGAGTCAATTCGGGCGGGCGGGGAAGTTAGCGTTCGTTTGCACGCGCGGCTGCCTCGCGCCTGCACTCATAATCGTATGCGCACTCGGCAAATAAATGCGGCACATAATTGTGTGCAAAACACCAACAATGCGAAAGCTCTCTCATCGTGCTCGGAAAGCATCGAAGCGTTTTGCTCGCGCGCGCCCGCGCGGTAATATGGTCGCGATTCGTGACTATCGTACATCGCATCGCATCACATCGCTTTCGGTAGGTGCGAGCGTCTATATGTCGGTAAGAACAACGCCATTGTGTCGCCTCGTCGTCATTAGTTTGATGGTAGCGCGTCGTCGGCTGTCGCCCGAGTAGTTCACGCGCTTTGTTCTAATTGATGACTATCTCGGTGGATGCTGATAAAGGCGGTTGGAAACGGAACCATCTAGAGCGTAGTGTGCCGCAGGGTAGACGCCGACCTCCGCACTCAGCCTTCCTCCTCCTGTCTTCCTGTTTGCGAAGTGACGTGCGCCTGCTTATTGCCTACAGATACATATTTACGATAATTCGCAACAAATTGTGTCTAAACTTGCGCATCGGACTATCATGGCCAGCCGAGCGAATCCGTAATGCGCAACGTGATGTTTGCGCTCGCTTATCGCAATTTGCGTTTGTTATAATTCGGTCGAAAGTTTTGGCACGTAGCAGAAAACTAAATGACAACCACTAAAACAACGCCGCGGAACTTTCGCGGAAAACTGCGCCGCGCCGCACATCATGCCAGTAACACGATATCAGCTCAACAACTAACTAAATAAACACGATAGTCCCGAGAATGCAACGCCATATCCTCGTCTATTAAGTAATTAAGTTTATTCGCTGGTTACGTGCGCAAATATTTAATGCGTATCGAGTAACATGTACGCAAAGTTAAATATGTTTATCTGTACTGGCGTGCACGCAAACAATTGAACAGTTGCAACCGATCGTGTTTACCTAAAGATTCAGCATGCTGAGCATAGTTACCAGATGATGACACACACACAAAAAAAAACACGCGAAACTATGGTATGATGAGCGGAATGCTTAGTTATTTATTTATAAATAATCCCAGTTTCTTCTGTATGTAAATGAAACTCATTTTCGCAAAATGCGCCTTTGTTCACCTTCGGGGTTTTGTAGCAGCCTTAAAAAATGTTAGCGAAAGGAGCATGAACGCGTGCCCTCCAGGCCATATAGTGTTATTCGGTATCATAATAAATTCAAGGCGTAAAAAATGACCCATTTCGTTGCAGCGCGCAGGTCGGTTAGTCCATCGTTGTTACTGAGCGCATCACAGCCGCTCGTTGCCGCCGCCCAGACGCGTTATCATTTATTACCGTTCGTTGTTATTCTTCGCGTCATTTGTTTGTCCATTCGCTTCACTCCCGGCGTGATGCGAGGCGCGCGCGCTTCACTCACACGCATTTCGACGAAAACTACAACTATAATGGAGAAGCAAAGGGAGAAGCGCAAGTTGTGTGTTTGCGCGCCTTCCGTGGGTGCCAAACATTTCGAGCATTTATATAATGCGCGCCGGTTGCCGTCGCTTTCACCCGCTTGCTCATTCATTCATTCGTTCATTCGCCCCCGTCCGTTTGGCGCACTATTATTTGGCCGGTCGGGCGAAAGGGTAGGTAATAAACGTGGCACATTCTGCGCGGTTCCCATCAGTAATTACTCTCAATTAACGAACGAAATTGATATAAATCACTACAATTGCTGATTTGCTCCGAAGGCGTCGGTTTCGATTAGAAGGGATGTGTGCCAGCCGTGGTGGCGTGTGGGTTTTCTCAACGCCTCGACTCCACTTATTTCCACTCGCCGTCTAGTACCTTCTATTACTTTTAACTAGAGCTTTATGGTTGCATTTATGTGCGCCCTATATGACCGGGGCATTATTACACGGTGCTTCTTTTTCATTTTCATTTAAGTGGTTAGTTTGGGTCGAAGACGTTTTCGGGAACGAATGAACCGTATAGCGGACGCTATACCCCGTACGATAAGGAAACTTGAATTTTTCGAATGCAGCCGCCCAGAATAAATGCCGCACGAAACGCAGATCAAAAACGAGGCCAACATGCAGAATATTATTTTCGGAAACGTTTATTTATTGGCATCCCTTCGGCGATATAATAGGGGTGGTTGCATCATAAACAAAAGAATAATTTAAATAATTATAGCATAAACGCAGTCAACTTAAACCCCGGCGTCATTTAATTAATGAATTAACAAGGACTCGAGCGGATAATAAACGAAAGACAGGCTATCGACCCCACTACACTATTAATCATCTTAATGTAATCGCAGGCGGGTCGTAATTAAACTATAATAAGTAATTATGGACATCCGGTCGAAATATTAACATCATTCCTGATGAATACCAAGAAACGCGGGAATCTGGAGGGCTATAATAATATATTGGGTAACAAGTGCGGAAAATTATGTTTGGCAGCACGAACTAATTACACATCTGGAAGCTGGAAGTCATTGCCATACTGCAAAAAGAAATTTAAAAAATGAAAATTTTTTTTTTAGCGCTTGCTGAATAGGTATTTATGGGGTCTTTTTCCTTAGGGTTTTCCATTGCATATTGACTTGTAGTATTTTTATTTTTTCCTTTCATGGTGCACAACAATGCACAATGCGCAACAAATTTCAACACTTGATTGTCAGAAATCATTATTTTTCTTTACTCAGACTTTTTAGTACTTCTTCAATTGTTATTTTTGCACGCGCAGCATCTACAACATTCTCTAATGCAACTATCGAATCTCCAGGTGTTTTTTATGTCAGTTTACCTGGAATATAAAATTGATAGCATTATACAGAGATTTTTACCTTATCAACTGTGAATTAGTTTAGATGCTTTCTATATTGTTTTCATATAGCCCGATTCCTGGTTTTCTTCTTGACGTTGTCAATACGGTTCATCATAGTCAATGTGTGATATCATCGGTAATACCATTGATATACTGCCGTTACTCAACATTAACCTTACCTATGCATTTAGGCTTTCTTCAGGTCAGAGAGTTTCCTCCTAGGCATTGAATCCGCATTTTGACTTTGCTTCGAGTTCTGCAGCGAGTCCTCTACTTCAGTACCTATAGGTAGTTTTTGTGTCTGTTATATCCTTACAATTCCCATGAGTATGAAGGAAGTAAATGTCGCTGCGCTTAGAGCCTTATAAACGTAGAAGGTTGAAGTACTCTCCTAGCTTTCGTTCGGGATGCGTGGGTAGCCTCTTAAGTCCCTGGTTTCAAATTCGTACGGCGCGGTTCTAACCATGGGTTTTATTCATAAAATAATATAATTTTCAAAAATGAAAACCCAATAGAGGAGAGAGTATTATACGTCAAAGATACATAATATTTTTTTGGGTTTTACAAAACAAGCGTGACGTGAGTTCAATAATTTCTTCTTTGGAGGCAATATTAATCTAAATATACTATACACATAGTTGTCCAGCAGCTTCTCAAACTTTAATTGACTTTTAATTGTTAATTTAAATTGTTATAAAACTGCTTTTTTTTAATATGATTACATGAAACACGGCGGAAATCACTGAGAATTTTCTTCTACGATGTGTTGAGATGCGCTAGGTCATTCAGGACTGAAGATGTAATTACAAAAATCATTCTTCTCGTGCGAGAATTCTAACGGCCCCATTGAGGTCACCGAAGGTCCGACATAGCGCGCGTAGATTGGCGTCAGGATCAGTGTAGCCCATTCGTTGAAGTTGATCCAGTTGGTTTCGGTACCGTACCTGTGGTGGCTGGATCGGCGGTGGCGGACGTTGTTGAGCCATCTGAGCCATATAGTCGCGTAGCCCACTTGCGGAATCCATTGTCTCCAGATTCTCAAAAATGCTAGATAGATAGTGGCCTAGATTGGTGCTGCTAAGATTCGGCGTGCTTTCCACAAAGGTTTGCAGATTATTTGAGTCACTAGCGCCGTCTTCAATTGAACTCAGGGGGTTTGAGCTATTGAGGACCTGGTTAATACCATGTGTTGTTCCAAATTGTTGTGTTCCTTCCGTTGCCCAAGGGTTGGAATATGGGTTATTGTTGTTGTTTTCGAACTGATATATGTTGGGATTAGTCCGATTGACAAGACTCGGGAAAGTGCAGGATTCTTCTTGAGAATGAGGATACTGCAAACGGGGCAACGTCTCGAAGTTACCTACTAACAACAAAACAAATTCGATAAATATTAAAATCAGAAAAAAAAAGTAGGAAGATTAAGGTGCTATAAACAACTAAAAACACAAAAAAATTAAGCCAAAACACCAAGTAGATAAATGTGTTCGTAAAATGCATTTTTGATTAGAATAAAAACTGGGAGAGAAAAAAACCAAAAATGCGCTCAGTTTTCCCATACAGTATCGACGAGCGCGAAAAAATTTGCAATTACGTTTTTTATGCGCGCTCGTAAAACGAATGCCATCGGCATTAAGTAAATGTGTGCTAGAGGTCATAGCGCGATGCAAAGGAATGTTTCATTCGCACCAGACGCGTAAAACAAAAGGAGCTTAGGGTGGATGCAAACGCGGCAATAAAAATTACCCAGCGCACTAACGCCGCCGCTGCACTCACTAAAGTTGAGTGCCTTTCGCGTGTTGGTTTTTTTTTGACACCTGAACTCAAAGATTTGTCACCGGTTGCCAACATACCAGTCATGGTGTTCTCTAGATCTGCATCCTGGTCGTCATCCGATGTGTCCTCAAAATCGTCAGTAAAAGCTTTCAAGTATTCCTGAAGCATATTCGGATGTCGAATAATATTTACAACATCAGGATTTAATACGACGTTTTGGAATTCAGGGTGAAGCTTTCGGAGAGTTCCCAAAAACTTATCATTACTGAGTAAATGAGCTACGGGGTCTGCTTCATCCGTGGTGTCTTCTTCTTCTAACCTTGTATTATCTGTTGAGCTGGCCGCGATGCTTTGTAAAACGCAGTTCTTAAATCTGCATGTATCTACTTGGTCATCACGGATGACCAAGTGAACCGTACAACCATGCGTCATGTTACAATCGAAAAGGTTCTCCGTATCCGCGAGGACCCTACCCGCGTAGATCAAGCATAGTTGCCGCATGTTCACATTGAAGCGCCTCGCGACTAGTGTTTTCAATTCGCCAATCCTTTGTGAGAGTCTTACTGCTATTTCTTCGATGTGTTCATTGTTTCTTACGACTACGTATATTAGATCGCCCTGTACGCATTCTGGTTGTTTTCCCATTTTGATTCGGTTAATATTTCCGCCGGTATTTGATCAATTTTGTGAGTGTGTGGTATGTGATTGAACTGAAAATTTTGCACTGTCAACATATTGACATGATGATGTAGACTAGAAATATTTCAAGGCATACGCGATTATAAGAATAGGAGAATATGTGAATTTAATTTGTAAACATGGACATATTTTGCGCGTTCGATTTTCTTTCTCTGCAATTTTCTAGTATTCGATAAATACCGATCGCACACTAACGTCTTTCCGGTCAAAGCCATTTTAAATTCGTATGCTCCGAACAGATGCCCCTGGGGAGTTTTTTAATATTTTATGTTTTGGAGCGTTTATTCGATCCACGAAAATTAAATAAAAATGATTCCGGTAATATCCAGCAAATTGGTACATATGAGGCTTAGAAAACTAATCATATTTATTTCTAGGAATTATATTACTCTTAATTACTCAACTCAATTCAAGATATTAAATATTTCTTTATGAAGTTAAAGTTATTTCGATTAAATTTGGAATTTGTGTAACGATTTAACTCGTCTCTCAACTATAGATAGTCGAATGCCCTACATCTAGGTACAGAATAAATATTTACCATATAATTTTCCAGCGCAAAGGAACTGTGTCCTCAATTGCTAACTATAGCGAGATGGTCCATAATATTGTATTTGTATTTTCGCGGAGGATTGCCAACGTTGAGTTGTTACAAGTCGTACGTGAGTGAGACTTTAATATAAATCAAAGTTTATGTTTTGGATAAATTTGCGCCGCACGGACACGCAAGTACATCGCAATCCGACCCAGCTACCCGATGGGCGAAAACGTTATGTGGACATAATATATGTTCATTGTTTCCAGCAGTCCACTCCGGTGGCCGCAGCGATCACTAATACTAATACTCCTTGAACTAGTTGGGACAACTGAGACGGCGGAAAGCGTGCGCGCGTGTGGTGGTGCGGCATTTCGGGGTGAAACTAGAGCAAACAATAGCGCTGAATGTGTTGGAAGCGTAGCGAAACATTGGCGAAAGCTTCGGAATTCAATGGCCTGTCCGGACGGCCACGCGGCGAACGAATCAAATGAATAACGACTCTTGAATCGATTGTTTCGATCTTTTCATATGCTAACAACAAATGAAATATTTTTCCGAGATGTTGTTTTCATTGCTTTTGATCGCACACACACACGCCAGCCCGCCGCTTCGTGTCCGGTGTTCATTTGTTCGGTTTTTCAGCCGGCGGATGTGCGCGCAAAAAGCTAAGTGAAAAGTAAACATTCCTTAAAATTGACAGCAAATAAAAACTCGCCGGCGGCGAAACGAACCGATATAAACTGGCAAACGACATTAAGCGCCGAATGCACGCGTACGCGTGTAATCATTAAATTTCATACACTAGCGTGTGGTGCGCGCAAAACTGTTAGCGTTTAGTGCGCGCCGCGTACTTGCGAAGAATGCCACCGGTGGATGGATTCAACGGGGTTTGTTAGTTCTGCAAACGCAGACAGTGTTCCGGTGCGCCGGAGGGTTCACGGGCGCAAAATCAACAGATATACGCTCGCAGATTCGTTTTTCGAAATTTCGAATTGGAAAACACAGGACTGAATAAACGAAACAAATCCGATCAATCAACCCGAATAGACACTAACCGTATTAGCACTTTAAGTAAATTTCTAATTTTTCTCGATTTTTCAACCATCCAAAGTTGTATAGAAGTAGGATTCACTTGAAAGAAAATACATTTTTGCATTTTATATACGGACGGTGATGTCGTGAGTAATATTCATTATTTACGGGCCGGAGCTTGCGCCTGCGCATTTACCTGCGGAGCAGCACAAGATTGTTTGAAATGTCATGCGACCTCAGTCAAACACGTCAGTATGTTATTTATAACCTTACATTTTGTAGTAGTGTGTGCGCAAATTTCGATTATATAAAATACAAAAGTTGAAATACAAAAATCTTATCAATTAGGAACTAGTGTGTAAGTAGAAAAAATGGCGTAAGCACCACGTGGCTAAACGTTGTTAAAGACTCGATTGCTTAAACGCTCGCTCTCAATCAATCTCGTGAGTAAACTCCCTGTTTAGCCACTTGTATACCATCCAAAGTTGTATAGAAGTATATATTGATTGGTAATACATTTTTATGCTCTGGTTTACCTCGAATTCGGTAGTGGACTGCAATTTGCTGCCGCAACATTCGGTGCACTGCATTCAAACCGACCTGACAATAAGAATAATTGCTAAATCGGCGTTTGCAAATCGCGTATTCAATGATCGCACGTGCCCGAACTTTATCGGCTGGTACCTAATAACTTTATAGTTTCGCCAAGTAAAATTATTGCAACGTTTAGAATGTATTCATTCAAAGTTATGGAATTATTACCGCCGTCAACGTCGCCAGCGTCGCCCCTCGGTCCTACCGTTATCACACGCTACGACGGCGGCACGTTGACTCGTGGGAGTTTTATTAAGTGGCATATCAAAGAGGACGACGCGCGCGGGCCCGTCTCGAGATGAAGGCAGAAGGCAGAAGGCAGAAAGCAACGCTCCCTAGACGCGACGCGAGCCGACACTAAATGGCACTAAACTCGACAAACTTTCGATATCGAAAGATTACCTACCCCCGCAGCTGCATACCTGGATGCGAGGAGTGTAGGTGTGTACGTGCGTGGCGCGCAACAAAAGGAGGTGGCAACTGCGGCTCCCGACATGCCAGCGGATACCAGCGCCGACTTGTTTGTTTCAACCTGGACGTCAATTTGGTTAATTGAATTACCCTTGCGATCCCAGAAATTAATCAAGTTACATTCCGGGCCGACGCATGCAGTGCGTTGTACACCCCGCCCGCGCGCGCGATGCAAAATTTAATTCAATTACGAACAATTTGTACTCGTATCAATTAGCGTGCGCCCGCTAGTCGCACGGAATGCTGGACATGGATTTTCTATCTAATCTTGGCATGTCTTGTAGCGCACGCAACACGATAACAGCTTTATATCAAGGCGTATACGTTCTTTTTATCTACTTAAATCTTCTACATAAATTCGATTATAAAACTGTCCGTAGATTAATGAAGACTTTGATTGTCACACTTGACAAGCATTTAATTATGAAGTAGATGCAGATATTTTCATTTTTATTGCTTTTTATTAATTGCTATATTTTTTACTTCTACTCTGTTTCCATATTGCACTATAGGAAAATGCGCAGTCGCAAACTCCACCCCGTAACTAAAACCCGCGACTAAAGTACTTTAGTCACGGTTTTAGCCGCTCGCGTTTTAAGTACCACTATTTCTGTTTCAAAACATTGGAAATATTAGCGGTTTAAAGGTGAAAATAGAAATATGCATTATAAGCATATGAATAATGCATTAAAAGCATTTTTCATATTCTTTTTAATAAAATGCAGAATGTTATGAGAGGGATCGGCATATATTAGGCCCAGGAGACATGAAACTAATTTGTAATCTATATCGTAGAACCAATGCACGCACACAAGAAAATATTGCGTGTACCACTTGATCACCTACATCTTGTCAGCTGTTTATTATCAGCAATCTGCCCGAACTTGAGAAGTTTGCCGCAAATAAGCTAGATACGAGTATATACGTGTTGTACCAAATAACCAGTACCATGGCAGTATTGCCAACACTATTGATTTAAAACCTATAGATTTTAAAGAAGGCACATTACCTATGTACTTAATTGTATTTATACATTCAATTTAATTAGTTTCTGTACATCTGTGGTCATTTTCAATGTTGTTTTTGTCGCCAAGCTTTGTACATACACAATTAAATCCGCAATGTCTGTTTGCATGCCTGTGATGGTCGCTTGTATTATCTTATAAAATACTACTTACCAATTAACACTGTCCACGTAATACCCACGGTACACCAGTAAACACTAGGAATTGTTGCCAATAAGCTTTAAAACGGCTTGAAAACCAAAATTTGTTGGCACTTAATATGCAGTTTTCGCGGGAGATATAAATTGGCAATTTTGCATCGAACAGTGACTTTTCGTAATAAAATAAATAAGCCGGATTGTTATGGTAACCAAAATTATTTTCATAGGCATAGTGATCTGCGTTGAAAACATTTTGTGTTTCTGCCATTTGGAGAAATGCGCAACACATTACCACTCAATGAAATTAAAGCGGTTGCGAGATTGCATGCCTGCGCTAAGTAAGACAACGCGTTAACGGCGTCGAACGCGCGTAACTTTTCGAGTTGTCGAACCTGGGCGTAAGCGCGTGTCGAGCCGGTAAACTCTAAACTTTCGAACGACGCGAGTTGCTTCCCGGATTACGGAAGAGCAAAAGCTGAGTAGTTTTCCAATGCAATGGCAACCCAAAGTCCCAAGTGTATGCGGAGACGTTGGAGACGTGGTCGGGGTAATGAGCAACGGCGTAAATAAGGAAATGCGCGTATAGCTATCATGTTGTAAATTGAATGATTAATTAATCTGTTATTTGCTAATTACGAAATTTTCCGTGACTAATTCAAGTTCGCGTTTCTCGGGAAGGAAAGCAGCGCGCTATCGGAACGCTCGATGATTTTTGGATGCTATCCATGGAAGCAATTCAAAGTTTCATGACTTGATCAGTTTTCATGCTTCATTTACAAATTAATGTTAGGATTCACTTGAAAGAAAGTACATTTTGCATTTTATATACGGACGGTGATGTCGTGAGTAATATCCATTATTTACGGGCCGGAGCCCGCGCCTGCGCATTTACCTGCGGAGCAGCACAAGATTGTATGAAATGTCATACGTCAGTCAAACACGTCAGTATGTTATTAATAACCTTACATTTTGTAGTAGTGTGCGCGAAAATTTCGATTATATAAAATACAAAAGTTGAAATACAAAAATCTTATCAATTAGGAACTAGTGTGTAAATAGAAAAAATGGCGTAAGCACCACGTGGCTAAACGTTGTTAAACACTCGATTGCTTAAACGCTCGCTCTCAATCAATCTCGTGAGTAAACTCCCTGTTTAGCCACTTGATAGTTAATATACTATTAACAATAATTCATAAAATTAACCAATACTTATCAGATGTATTTTACCCGTTTTGATTTCAAGTTGTTTTGTGTTGTATTGCTGAATGTTTTCACCTTACCTGCTGACCGCCTTGAACACGTCAGTGGTTTCGTCTTCACACTAAAACCGAAAAAAGAATATATACCCCGTAAGTTTAACGCCACGTAAAATTTGATGGGCATGCAATGTGTGCATGTGCGTGTGTTAGCTTTTACGCGTAAGCCGCCAAAAGAAAATAAATCGCGCACCAAGGCAGGAAGCCACCCAGGCGGTGACAAAGTGCTGAGCAGGCATTACGCCACTTGTCATCGGGAAATAATAAAAATAATATGAAGCGACGCGCAAGTTTTACGAGAATTCTTATTTTATCATGCCATTTGTCTGCAACTGCTTCATTGTGTCAATTCGCCGAGCTATGCATTTGTCATTGAGAAGAAAAAGAGAGATAATGTAGGAAAAACCTTAGGCCTCCATAAGTGCTCCTTCGCCGATGAAATCTGCTACACTAGATAAAGATGATGATGGCCGAAAAGTTTAATAACAAATATTCGCTCAGTGGCGATGGCATGCCGTTGAGGATCATCTTTTCTTCGCTTCGCGCTGCTGGCTGCCGCTCTCTCGAGTGCAATTTGTCAAAAACGGGAAGAAGGTAACTGATTATACTACTCCCAGAAGGTGCATTAGTTCGATTACATCAATACCTAAGATTAATGTGCCGATATGTGTATATAATGGCGGTGAATTTTTCACCTTCCTTCGGCGAACGTGTATGCTTTGGATAGCGTCGAAGCCGGCGCGATATGAAAGAGAAGCCAGTGCGAATGGTAAACGAGCCGTGCATGTCAGGAGTGAAGACACAGTGCGCAAGACATGTAAAAAATACGATAGCCGACAGAAGGGCATGTTTTCCTACAAATATACAGCGAAAATAAATCGAACACAACCGACCCCACATATGAAAAATCTTTTTTGCGTAATAAACGACAACACTGAGTCGTAGACTGGTCCAGAGCGTAAAAAAACATAAACAGTTGACGATTCTATGTGAAGAACCTCGGACTGGCTTCAGACCCTCAAAATTCATAACAAATTCAGTTGGAGCATAGATAAATGTCTCGATTTGCGGTTCATAATATACCTGCATTGCATTATTAAGCGAAATTGTATTAAAATATGTTCTAGTGCAAATGGAAAACGATTTGCTATGGAGATACGCACTATAATCGGGTGAAATGAAAGTATGAAAAACGAATGCTTGCGCGGACAGCAACGAGGTGGTGGCCAGAAATGGGAAGAACGTGGAAAGTGGGCGAAACAAAAATACGGCTTTATAATTTCATTTTAATGGCGCCTTTCTAAGCCGCCGCGCGGTTGCGGGTTGTACAATTTTTTTATTGCCAACAGGAGCGCGTTTTTTCGGCGCAGTGTTCCGGGCGCAAGCACATTATAAGAAAATTTATTGGCCCCGACGGCGCGCCCGAGCGTCCCAGCGTGTTTTATTCTTATTAAATTTAAAAAATTAATTCGCTTTCTCAAATTATCTTCCCGGTAATACCATTGAATAACTTTGTGTTTTTCGCCGGCAAATAAAGCACGTACATGAACTGAACTGAAAAATGTGACGGAGGGGGAGGTAAGAAAGGTGTGCGAAAGTCGCGTCACACACAAACAAGGAAAAACTTTTTATAATACGCCGAGTATTACGAGTGGCCGTAAAGTAGTTGTAACGCTGCGCGGAGCCGCGCGGCGGCGGCGACGGCGGCATGGAAGTGCAACTGTATCGGACATAGCGGCGGCGGAACGTGTTTGTCGACTCGGCAGAGCGTCGACGTATATCGAATTCGGATCAATCCAGCCACAAAACGTTACGACCGGCTTTGTATGCTATGAGGCGTATGGGCCATCGCGCGCCTCGAACACCGCCGCCCGCCGTCCTCGGTTCTCCCAAGTTGGTTTGCGGCGGCGGTCCGCAGACCCATTTCAACTCCGTCGCGTTACTTATATCGTGGCAGCAGCATATAACTTTTTGGCGTTTATATGATCCCGATTTGTCACGATGTCGACTTTTTTTTTGTCTCCGGCCGCGTTTTTCTATTTTCCTTCGGTCCGGACGCCGCCGCCTGCTGCCATTCGATATTATTCTTCTTTTTGTCTTTTGCCTCCGTTTTAGTCATGTTCAGTGTGTACTATATAACGTTTTATCAAGGAAAATGTGGCGAAAGCGTGGCGTGAGTTTTTCAATACGTGCTTAAACTTTCGAGAGACTGCATCGAGCTCACGCTTCTTCTGGCGAGTAAGTAGTTAAAGTAAAACCAGTAAACCTATCGGATCATTAATAACTGACCGAACAGTCGATATCAATTTGGCAAATAAAGATTGATCGCCTTTTGCCTACGTTTCATTTTTTGCTTGTTTATTGCCGCGCGCAAGTTATTTACTTTTCCATCCAGGACCTCGAAGTTCGGTCGATGTTCCTCCGCGTATATACCACTCGAGTGCCATTATTGCTCGCCTTCCATTGTCTTAAAATCATCAAATTCGAGCGCCGAGCATCGTGAGGATCACCTGAGAACAGCTAGTTTGCATCGAGATGTGCTCGATCCTAGTCGAACACCGACGAATAATAATCCACGCGGAATGAAGTTGTCTGGGTCCTAATTACAATTTAGATTAATTATAGCCACTTGAATCGGGACCGGCGTGTATCGAATCCGAACCGCATGTTGCGGCGGCGTTGATGAACAAGACCGCATGGTAAACACAGTAAGACAGCGTGTGTACGTTGGCGGTGAAGATGACGGGCGATCGAGTTTGACGAAACGTAGTCATCGTCGACGAAGAAGTTTGACGATCCCCTTAGCGGCGGATGAAGACTGCGGCAACAACAGTTATCATGCGCTATAATTATTAATTAACCATCCAGGCTTGACATCAAACACTGGCGTGCACGGTGAGACGTCGAGACAGGAATGACAACAGTTGCGGGGGTGATTAATCGAAGTGGTGCGAAAGTGTCAAAGAAGTACGCGCGCGACGCTTGCATTTTTGATTCGGGCCAATCCACCCTTATCTTCGTATTCCGCTTGCTTGCGATCGCAGCTTCTAATTTCGAATTTACAAAACGAAGCGCCGCGTTCGCGAATTGTCTGGGAATTAAGTGGCCATAAAAGAGTCGCGCGCGTTGATGGCGCGCGCGCTCCCCGAGTTTGTAATCACAAATTAAAAAGAAAAGAGTTGAAGCACGACACGCGCACTCGCCTCGCAGAGGTCGGCGGCCGTTGAGCGCCCGGCTTTGCGAGAAAAATGGAGATTTGATCGATTTTGGAGGCCGCGCGACGGAAAAGCACTCAGCTTAATTCGGAAGTTGCACGCCGGGAACGCGCCAACAAGCCAACAAAGCGCGCTCGCTACGACTTCGGGAGTGGGGCAAGTATCCTCGTCCTGCTGCCCTTCGCATTGTGCGCAACCAACGCAGTGCACTCGACCAAGAAACAAGAAAACACACCAAGGGTCGAGGACTCGAGGCCAGGCGAGCGAGCTGACCACAAGTACATTGTTACTTTGACCACCATTGTTTACGATCTGGGGTTTATCCACATTTCAAGCCCGGCCGACTATTATGATACTTATACGAAAATAAGGATGCAGTCGGAACGCACCCAAGCAGCGACAGAATTTTGAATGTTTCGCCAATTGAAATAATTGAAAAAATTGAAATAATTTTTTATATTAGCGGATTACTTGGTTGGTAGCCTTTTCGCGTATCGGCGGAAACAACTAATTGAAATTGCAATTTTCCAAGGTTCAAAATGATAGCAATACAAATATGTTTACGAGCAACCCCCAGTGCAGAAATGATACCTCAAATTATACCTTATCGCCCTTACGTAGTACGAGCATTCCATATGAGTTTGGAGAGCCTAAATAGCAAACAAAGGCATTCATGTATATTTTGTACACATGCAGCAAGCGAGCATTCCTCGCTGTGCTCTATTTGTAACCCGTCGTGTATCTACGATCAGGACGTGCAGGCGTGGAGATGCTGTACCAGGGCGTATGATGAAATCAGGAATCAGTGCTGTTTTACTTGAATAGATTGAATTTAATTAACATACATGCATGGCTGCGGCGGCAGAATTCAACGCGCGCGCGGTACACGTGGGCGGATGACATGTACTGAGCGAAAACACCAAACGACGTGAACGCATTTCAAATGGCGATGCCAGTGCCGGGCATTGTTCGGACACGAGATCTTCTGCCATTTCGGCCATTGAATTTGCATTGCTGAATTTACACCGATCCGCATAAATTTCGCGTAAAAACGTCTTGAAGATTTATTACTTATTTATAATCTCATTCTGGCGGCGGCGGCGGCGGCTGGATCGGGATGTTTGTACGGTTGCTTACTCTGCGGCGCGAACGATGCGATTTTAATTATTGCGAGGGAAGGTGTTGGGGTATAAGGTGGCTGGGCAGTTCTTAAGCTGCATCAAATTACAACCTAAAGTTCAAAATAATCTGAGCGTAGAATCAAAATAAGTATAACCAAAAATATAAAATATTATTTTATATCAAATTGTTTGTCTTTCATGTACATAAGCAGGACCGAAATTTTATATAAACTAAAGTAAATCACAATTTTTCTACTTCCACCTTTGAAGCGAGAGTTTTTCTGCTGTTTTGAGACACAAAAAGTGGTATTTTGAACACGGACCTGCATGGGCGTGACTGAAGTACTTTTGCCACGGGGTTTAGTCACGGGGTGGAGCTTGCGCATGTGTCATGCGCCCTTAGCCAAACATTACACACCCGACAATTATAACCTTATGTTTTCTAGTTGTGTGCGAACGAATTTCGAAAATTTAAAATACAAAAAACTTAACGTTGATAAAAACTCCGGTTTAGCCACTTGATACCTAATATACTATTTTGAACATTTCGAGTGTTTGAGAACACTTAGTCGTGTGTGTGTGTGCTATTTGAATTCTCGTGCGTAAAGTCACTACCTGACGAATTCACTCCTGATATTCACTAGAATGCTGAATATTGAAATTAATATCAATATTTCGATATAGAATCGTCAAATATTAGTGCACGAAAATTTCGGGGTCGACCGATATTTATAAATTAAATAATTT